CAAATCAAGAAAGTTGTTACTTTGACTTAAATTGACACTTATTTTAACCGCAAAAGGTTCACTGACTGCACATTGAGACTGGTAAATTAAAGTCCTTTGGCAAGAATCTCTTATGAATCAGCGGAATGTCTAATTAATCAGGGAGTTTCCTGACCATTCCAACAAATAATTGGCCATTGTTTTCTAAACAATGTATTATTTTATATTGCGTAAGTATTTATTTGCAGCTAGTTTAAAAGGCAGAATCTTAGTTACTTTTTATAAACAAAGGTATACACCTATCATTATATTTTATAGTAAGTCGTAAAGTACGAAATATTTTGCCATAGCGTACAAAATATTACAAAGCAATCCGTACAGTTATAAAACTATGTAAAATAATTAATAATAACTAATCGTGTTTACAAAAATTTCTCCAAAGAACTGTTCACTTTTTTGCGAAAATAAATGTTTAAATATTTATAAAACTAATATAAGTTTTCGTGATAGCATCCGCAATGTATGTTTTGTGCTCGTTTGTCGAATAAAAACTAGCTGATGTAAGAATCCCACGTCGCTGTTATGGCGAAAGAAACTCTGCGGGTATTGGCTTCAGCACGGATTGATCTGCTCCGACTGGATTGTGTACCAAGCTGGCACAGTATACGTTGTAGAGACATGCTGCAGCTTTATTTTGATTGTAGCACTAACGAATCGGCGCGACCGAGGAGGGACCACGCTCTTACGGAATACCAGCGTAAAATAGCAGCTTAGTACTGTTATGTTTCGTACGGTGATTGAGAGAACCGGATAAACTTTTTACTGGAAACGAGGCATCCATCTTAGGCCTCACGGGTGACAACGCATCCGCATTTTGATACTCAATTGAGAATAAATGTAGGTAGATGTCTATGGGCCACAGAATCCACTCACCATCAGGTGGACTGTGTACTCATTCGTCACCCTTATTCTATAACAAGAAACATATTAGCGTGAAATAGCAGCATAATGATGTTCTGTTCCTTATAGTAAGTTTAGAGAACGTAGAGAACCGGAGAAATATCTTAGCTATGCTCATGATAATCCGTACTCGCTGAATATTTCTAAGGCGGGTAGTCCATAATGGTGACATTTAATATGTTGATGGTGTTTTATTTGGGTTCATTGGCCTGCATATGTTTAATGGCTAGTAACAAGGTAGGTTTATTATACAACACAACAGACAAACATCTATCACACCTATTTTAGTATCGGTACATGATTCAAGAAACCGTAATCGGTACTTCAAAGAACATGCTTTTGTACTATGGGGTCAAATGCACGCAATCACCTTATTGTATAATATTTGATTTCTCTTGTCGACTATGACGACTACAATCTACGTACAACTACACGCTCAGCGAGCTCCGTCCCTTGGTCGTCATCATACAATGAATTCAAACCAAACGGCTTGCTTTCTCATTTGTAATGAGCACTGCAAAGGAGTGACAAAAGTTGAAAAAAATATATCCTTCCAACCAATTACAATATAAAAGTATCCATATATGGGCAAGTTAAAACAATATATCGATAAATATTGTACCGATATTTTTAAACAGTATCGATATATATATCGGTTTGGCAAAGGTATGTAAATGCATACTGCCTTGTCTCACGTTTATAGTTTCAAAATTTCTTACAATTTATTGGCGTCAAACTACACGTTTTTAGGAATTTTAATATTAAACAGATTGTTTTATTTTATTTAAGTTGTTGTTTTGTTATGAATTCTAACCAAACGGAATATATATACCAGCGGCATGAAAGAATACATATATATATATATATATATATATATATATATATATATATATATATATATATATATATTCTTTCATGCCGCTGGTGGTTGTAATAGTATAGTAATGTTAGTTATCATAGTAAAACTTCTCCATCACACAATGTCAGCTTAAGTTCTTGTTTCTCAGACTGTATGAAAAACTTCAATGCTAATCATGTTACGCCCAAAGTATTCCGGCTCATTATCCTGACATACTTTGAATCCAAATATTCACGCCATAGTTTCAGAATCTTGGCTAGGTTTTTAAGCCATGTCTGCCTTCTACTTGCCTGGATTTCATCTAATTAGAAGTGATCGCAAAAATAGAGGTGGTAGAAGCGTGGCGATCTATCTTAGATCCTTCTTTGTACTCAAACATTTTTGTTCGTCTTATCAACCACCTCCTATTAATTATGCAGAGCATTTGCTAGTTGAGTTCTCCCTGTCTCCGAATAAAATCCTACTTGGAGTTTTCTACAGTCCCTCTCTTTCTATAAACTATTTTACTTCTTTCGAATCTCTTTTAGAATCATTAGTCCCTACGTATAGTCATTTTGATGGGTGACTTTAACACCTGTTTGCTTAAAGGCGACAATCGGGCTATAAAAATGGAGTCTATAATTGATGCGTGTAATATGCAAATCCTACCCTTTTCTGCTACTCATAACTTTCCTAACTGTACTCGTTCCCTTATTGACTTAATAATGGTGTCATTTTCAAGTCTAGTTTTCAAGCACGGACAGTGTTTTTGATGCATTCTCTTATTACGACTTAATTTTTCTTTCGTTTATACAACAAAAATCAAACCCAAATAAGTTCTGCGATGTAATTTTGGAGGAATAGATATTGACTAACTTTGTGAAGATGCTCACAATATTGATTGGTCAGTGATTGAGAGAGCACCATGGATTGACGATAAAGTGGAATTTTTCTGTTCCTTACCCACTCAGCTTTATGAGGTTCACGCGCCAATGCACTATGTGAGACTTAAACACTTACCTGTTCCATGATTCTCTGATGATCTGATAAGGCTAATTTTGAAGAAAAATGCGGAATTATCAAAACCTGAAAAGAATAAACAGAGGAAGTCCTAAGGAATTATGCCAAAATCTGCAACACATTATGTAGAGATGCACAACGACGCCATATTAATATATAATTATTAATCAGTCGAGAACGGCGACTCATCTAGGGTGCGGAAGTTTCTTAAACCAGTTGGAGTTGATAGAATATCCCTAAATGTTTCAACTCCTAGTGTTGATTTTGAATTATTAAATCAACATTTTTCTAATCCTTCTAACTCTTTCGATAGTGAACATAAACTGCAAACACTTAAAATAACTCCTACTTCTAATTACCTTCCATTTTATTAGTTACTTTACAGTATGTGATGTTAGGAAGATCATATTATCCATCTCAATATTAGACGTAATATGATTGTTTCTGTCCTTTATGTTATCGCTCCCATTATCACTTATTTACTAAATGCATGTGTAAATTCACACAATCCTGGAAGAGTGCTCATGTTATATCCCTTCCTAACAGATCTAATCCCGTCAACTTCTTCGATTTCCGTCCCACCTCGATCTTACTTTTCTTTTCTAAAATACTTGAGAAACTTATTTTCCAACACATGACCTTTTGGTTGGTTTCCATCCTAGTAATAATACGGGTACTGCCTTAACCTTAATTTACTGATGACATACGGTGGGGTATGAATAATAAACAACTCACATTCATGACCTTGCTAGATTTCAGTAATGCATCACTCTTTTCCATTTTAATTAATTCAGTCACTTATAAAATATCTTCTCTCTACCACATGTAGGTATGCGAATGATGTCCAGATTTACACCTAGTCATCTCCTGAGAGTTTGCCGAATGCAAATGCTACATTGAATAACGATTTAAATATTATTCATGAGTCGAGTAAATTATATGGCCTAAATATCAATCCTAATAAGTCACCAGCTATCATTATTGGTAACCAGGGCTTTATCTCAAGAATTGACTGGTTCTCCGTACCGCCTATCGAAGTCGATGGAGTTGTAATCCCTTACTTTGACAATGTCAAAAGTCTTGGTATTTATCTCGATAATTTCTTAAAATAGATACGCCAACTGAATGAGGTAAGTAAGAAAACCTTTCCTTCCATTCCTACAAATATTATTCTCGCACAGTTTCTCCTCCTTCCGATTTTTGAGTATGCTAACGCAAGCTATGTAGACATAACTGAAGACCAGCTGAATAAGCTTGAGAGACATCAAAATACTAGTATTCGGTTCATATTTGGATTGCGCAAATTTGGCCATATTTCACAATTTCGCTCACGTCTCAAGTGGTTACCTATGCGACTTCGCCGGAACAAGTATACTCTTTCTATTCTGTACTGTGCATTATTTCACCTTTCTACTCCTCGCTATCTAAAGGAGAAGTTTAATTTTGTATGGCTTCCAGGGGAACCTCTACGCTCAACAAGAAAATTAATTTTAAGGGTACCAATCTTGTACTGTCCAGAATGCCCTACCTTTGCATATACGTGAAGCACAAACTATCATAAACTTCAAGCGACTACTAAATTAGCATTACTTGTCTCAATCGTTCGGATACCATTAGGTAAATTTTTTGTGTTTATGTATTTACCATCTGTATATAATTTTTTGAGGAATGTTGTAACATATATATATGTATATATTATTGCATATATTGTTATTATATTATGTATATTTATATTGCACTACCTACCTAGTATTCATCGTTTTTATTCCTTTTCACCTTTGGTTGCCTGGAAGAGATCGCTATGTAATATAATATAAAGCTAATATAAAATAATATAAAGCCGCCAAATTGTACGTATAATCTGCTTTTTGTTATGATATTTGTATATTTATTTTGTGGTGTACAATAAAGTACATTCATTACATTCATACAAAAAACAAACAGTCGCATTGTAAAACTCTTCCTTTTTTGAAGAAGCCTTTTTTAAGGAACTAAAAAGTAACTAAACTGCAACTGAACAAGTGGGCACAAAAATACTCAACTTTTTGTAATTTTCCACTTAGTAGTGGCAAATTACAAAAAATTAGGTTGTTTAGTTACAGTGGTAGGTTGTTTAGTAACAGCCTCCCCAATAGATTGCCTCATGTGGCAGGATTGCATTTACGTGTATTTACTTTTTATAAATTTAAAAATTAATTATCACCTAAGTACTGGCGGCATGTCATCCAGGGCGCGCAAAGGATGCGGGGTTGATGGTGGGAGGGGCGCGGGGGGGCACAGGGGGCACGGGCGGCGGGGGAGCGGGCGGAGCGCGCCTGCCGCCGCACGCGCATCCCCCCGCTTCAGCGCCCTCGCGTCGCCCTCCACCCTACAACAAAGGAACAATATTTAGTGTGCGCAGGAATTACATAAGTACTTTAATTCCTCCCACTCCTTTCCACCATCGGACAACCAGGCGGTCGGCAGATTCTTCATACCTTCGTTGACAATATTCCACGCATTAGAATCAAACGGTTTGCTTCTTTTATAATGCGTACAGCAAGGGAGTGGTATAATTTGCCAGCGTTTATCTTACCATTCGAATACAATCTCTAAGAACGGAAGCGAGAACCTTGGGCTACATCACCACTTACCACCAGGTTGGATTGTGCTCAAGCACTGAATTATAATAAGTAAGGTAAAAGAGTATTTTTCAATAGCAATGAAATTCCTTGCATGGTAGCGGCGTAAGCGAAATCAATTACTCTGTAGGTACTCTACTTCGTCTCGTGAGTGTCATAGGTAGCGACTGTAACTATATGAAACATGAAATGACAAAAATGTACGTCATTTCTTACGCTTACTGTCTCTTTGGTCTAGTGGTTGTATACGTGACTAATGATCTGAAGGTCCCGGGTTCGAGTCCCGGGTCGGATAAAAATCCGTTATTGGGTTTTTCTAACAAGAATTTCTTAGTAGCAGCCCGGAGACAGGAAGTTGGTGGGGCTACAAATCCATGCCACAGAAAACACGTAAAGCCATTAGTCCTGGATCTCTTTCTGGTCGTGTCGGATTACCGTCTCATCGGAATATAAGAATGCGGGAATAGAGAGTGCGCCTGTTCTTGCGAATACCATTGGGCCCTATAATCCTAAGACTGGCCGCCGTTATCGAAATTCGGTCTGGAGAACATTATTATTCGGTTATGCTAGGCGTAAAATCTCCAGACCAGTGAGCGTAGCAGCATAAAAAATGAAAAAATAATGAAGACGATATTATAAGAAATAAAGCAAACTTCGTTGAATTGATCGTCTGTGACTTGACAATCGAAGCATCAGACGTGTTGTACTTTTGTCGTTACTACCAGCCGCCGATCTAAATCTTTAAAGTCTGACGTAAATGTGATGGTATACAGTCATCTGTCGGAAGCCAAAAGATTTCTCTGCCAAAAATTTCCTTTATTCGCCTCCTACGACTTCCACAGACGTATTGCGATGATGGATTATCTAACAATGCCATCACACAGCAATTAACTACCTAATAAATTTATCCATACATCCATTGAATGTTCACTGCTGAACATAAACCTACCCCTTAGATTGTCTTTTGCCATAGTTGCCACGCTTTAGCTCGCTTGTAGTTATTTTCAACCTTAAGCTGTTATCAGGAAGATGCTGCCCACCTCCTGTTTCAGATCCTCTCTATCGCCTCTTGCAATAACCACAGGACCATATGTGGTAGTGAAATTCTTACCTTGCCAGTATAGTTAAGGACCGATTTTACAATCTTCGGATAAAAGTTATTTATCAAATAACTTATAACGTGGCTTAATATAAAAGTGAATCAATAATAGAACCATTTTGTTTGTACAGCTGTAATTTTTAATTAGTTTAGGTTGTATTTCATCTCATAAATAACTTTTATCTGATGATTGAAATATCGGCCTTAAATTATTCGTGAATCGTGATCGATGTTTATTCCGCCAACTGTCGGCTCCGTGACTAGAGGCAGTGAGAATTGGACTTAAAGAAGTAAACACTCTGACAACACTTTTAAGCTAATTAAATTTAAGGCTTAAAATCGTATAATAAAAAACAAACCAAGTGGCTAACTAACACCTTATATACTAGATTTCGAATGACATAACACACTTACTAAGCTATTAACGTGTATTGTTCAGTTTGATACCAATTGTAAACCCATTGTAGATACATCAGATAAGTGTGTGTAGATTATCGAAGATGCCCTCTAAAGGCATGACACAAAGGTCGGAGAATAGAGTACTGCCAAAATTATCTTTACACAATTCTTAATTGCAAGGTTTTGTTTAAGGCAAGTTCACACTGTTCAAAAACGCGATATAATCAGTATATTTTAGACTTCAAACATATTTGATACAAAAACAAATAATGGGGTCAGTTGTTAGTATTTTATTTCGATAGGGATCATATACGAGCACACAGTCACAGTCACAGATGTTGTGGTACATAGACACTTAGAATCTAACCTCGATTAAGAATCAAATATCTCTTTAAATAAAATTCTAAAACAAGATTTTTTAACAATATTGTAAAATGCATCAAACTCCATCAAACTGTAAGCGAATACTCAGGCAGACGGGATGAAGCTATAAGAGCCGCATAGGCTAACAGCACCAACATATAAGTGCTTTTGTTTTCTGCTATTTAGTATTTTCGCAATACGCAGACGTAGTCAAATTTAAGTAAACATTCATTATTGATTAAAATGTTATGATTACGGTGATGATGATGTGAAACTGATTGATTTTGAACGCGGTGACAACTTCCGGATACTGCCAATATACCGCCAGAAGCAATCGTACTGGTGTACTATAGTGCGACAAATGAACGCGCTAAAAATTTAACTTTAAACAAAAAGTAAAAATCGATTTTATAAAATAAAAGGAGCAAAATGATTTTTACATAATAAATTCTGTTTTAATCAAAAGCTTCTGAAGTGTTTTAAAAAGTTTACAGCATTTAATGTAAAGTATATGAAAGTTCAAGGTAGCAACTAGAATGTCATCTAAAGCGTTACATTAAAAACTTCATTCTTTTTCACTGGGTCCTAGATCACCACTCCTGTGCTATAAGCTATTAAATAAAAAAGGAATCATTAAAATCAGTTTAGCCGTTTTCGAGAAATCTGTTAACATACATAAAAATAAACACGCGTCGAATATAGAACTCTCTCAATTTTTGGTCACAGACACATAATAAATAATAGTGAGTACCCGGATGACCGAGCCTTGCTCGGTTTTTTTTAAGTTACATTTAGATACAAATTTCATGAATAATATTTTTGATCTTATTGACATAATAGAAAAAACTGACCTGGTTATTTAGTGCAATTAGTTTAATTAAAACTTTCGTATTTTTAAAAAATACTAAAAAAAGGCTCGAAATAATAGATTTTCTCACAAAAGAAGGGAACTTGAAAAAAAAAGTCGGACCCAAGACGGGACGCGAACCACGGAACTCCGATATCGTATCGCCTGAACAACATCCCATCTGAGCGATTACGATCGTTGGTAAACTGTCAAAATTTACCTTCTTATATTGTAGCCTTTTATTGCCTGAAAACACGGACAAAAGGACATTTTTTAAAAATAAATCCTAGCTAGATCGATTTATTGCCCCCGAAACTCCCTGGACACTAAATTTTATAAAAATTTTATTGTTGGAGCCGTTTCCGAGATTCCGATTATATATATATATATATATATATATATATATATATATATATATATATATATATATATATATATATATATATATAAGAATTGCTCGTTTAAAGGTATAAGATATCACAGTTAAAAAGAGGTAAGTAGCGTAATGCCATAGAGCAAAATCATTTTATTCAATATATGTATATTACAAGAATACTTCTTATTGAAAGTTATCTATGCTTTTACCACTGGTTCGGAAAAAGCCACTGTCCTGGGACGGGAAAAAATCTTCCAGGGCTTCTTGCCAGTTCTCCAATTTTAAATATTTATTACAATTTAAAAAAAATATACATTGGTTTCCATGGAGGATTTACTGACATTTTCGAGTAGAGTAACTATTACTAGCTTGTGTTTGTTTAACACAGTGCTTGTTCCATTTAGTAGCTGTGTATTTATAGAATGTCCATTAATATTTTTAATAAAACTATTGCACGCCTATCGAACGCGAAGCGGAGATGTAGTGCCAATGGTCTGTTGGTCGGTATAGTTGTGAACAAGATATCTTTCGAAAAACTGAACATTACTCGACTTTTTATAGCTTTAGATTTTAATCCTTTGGAAGTCTTTTGAATTTCTCTATTTCCTTAATATTTTTTCGTTTTCTTATAGTTTTATTTTTTAATTTTTTTAAACTTTTTACAATCTTTTTTTCTAGTAAATTGAATATTCATAACATTACGTGAGCGTTCGGGGTGTGCACTTTTGATTTTCCAATTTTATTATTTTTACTTTAAATTGTAAAATTAAATTGTCCTAAATATACTTCGAGGCTTAAATTAATATATTTATTCCTTTAAATCTTACTCTAAAAACAACTTTGACGCAGGTAATAGATTACTCTTATGGCTCTCTGCTGCAAAATAAAGATAGTTTCAATGTCAGTCGCGTTACCATAACATAATTGTATACATACCCTTACCATTCCAACAATGCAATGTAATGCGAAAATCTTGATCATGGAGTCGCTGTGCGTTACATAATAGCTCTACAGATTGTTTTCAATTAAACAAAGTGTTTTTTTTACCAAACGTCAGCTGATTCCATCTTGATCATTGTTAAATTAATGTAACTACTTGTATAGGGGAAACGAAAATAAGATTTAGTTCGTAAACCATTCACATGACATTGAATATTTGGAAAAAGATACCACAATCGCCACCCTTGGCAATGATGATTGACTAGACGAGTAACAAACGCATCGCACGCTCGTTTGGGTATTTTAGATCAGGCATTTTTAAGACCACAAATTTAATTTTGTATTTTTTTTATGAAACTAATGGTACAATAGAAATCTTCATTAAATTTATGAATTACTGCAAATTTTAAAATTACGTTGTATCTTATGGTAAAAAGCTATATATAGTAATAAATCACCTATGTATATTAGAATAGCAAGTTCTTAAAATCACGAGCACATTGAGTTGATACAAATAAGCATATCCTACTTATGATCGTGTACGTAAACAGCCCTGCCTCAAATAGTATCAGCCACATCTACGTTATTAACAATATGAAAACGTTCGACGTGATACGATCTGTACATGTCAACTGTTACAAATTAACCTTTAATATTGTATGGTTTTACTTCTTCCATGAATGTTTTTAAAAGGCAGTCAGAGCTATAGTCATTTTTTTTATTT